CAAGAAAATAATCAGTCTTGTTATGCATTACAGGTGCTGTAGCATGGAATTTTCTATCAATTTATGGTGAACTGTCACAATGTCTGACATTATTCATCGTTTGAATTGCAGTAAATTTACAAATATAATTATTTTAACATGCGTCATCTTTGCCACTACACTTGTATTAATCTTGGAATGACAAGCCATCCAGTGTTAACAGTGTAAATAACTGGTTTATTTACGTTAAACTTATTTACACAGGATGGCTTGTCATTCCAAGATTACAGATATAAACTTGGGCTCTGTTATATTACTGCCTTCAATTTCTTAATTTAATTCATACAGTACTAATAAAGTATTTACAGCACATAATAAGAATGACCAGTATATTTGAGCATTACCTGATGATGAAGATTACAGTCATGTGGAATGCAATGCCATGTAGTCTGATACTTACTGATATTCCTCTGAAATATCAATAAATATCTGCCAGACTGCACAGTCAAATCCCAGAAGGCAGGAGTCTTCATTCTCATTGCCATGAAAATTTAAATTCTCATACTATCTGATATTGATACCTTAGCATTCTAATATAAAAATACAGAAAGATGTTATCATTTATAATTTTCAGTATAATCAGCAATTGATCAATTTATGTGACAGTTAATGATCTACATCATGCACTATTGTATGTAGCAGTCAATCAGATTAGCATTTATATGAGAAGAAACACAGTGAAAATGTGAAAAAATTTGTTAATTTAGTGTTTAAATGATGAAATCATTTCAATCCTGTGTGCATAATTGTTCCTTGTAATGTTCTTACCATGCACTGAAACCATTCTTGTGTTAAAAAGTGTTTATTCATATGATCTGTCCTCAGGTATAACAGTAGCCAAGTCAGTTGCTATTAGCTAAGGCTCCAGCTAGGGAAGAAAAGAATCTGATCACCATGGACTAAACCACTGGGGAATTAATGAGATACAAGCTGTATTTTTCATATTTTTTCTATGTTTATTTACCTGCTTCATAAATAGTTTGTTGAAGTCCGTATATTAATTGTTTAGCTGAAGAAGACAGGAAGCTGATAAGAATCTGAACAGTGCGTTGAGATTACACATTTATAACTGCAATAAACATATGTAATCAAGTTCAAAAGCCACAAATTCTTGAACACAGGCATATGTTTTTGTGGATGAAGAGTAATTAGTAAAATGTAAAATGTTACTGAGATTATGACATGTCACACGTGTAATGAAAAATAGGTTATTTCTTATTTATAATATTATTTCAAAATGGACGTCTATATTAAACTCAGTCATGCAGAGCAAATTACATTTCATCACTGCAGGATCTTAAACACTCACAAAGAGCTAAATGTGTCATCTGGCCACTTTATTAGGAAAATATAAAAAGGTAAAGGTATCCCTGTAACAGGCCATGGAAGCCCATAGGGTTATGAGATGTTGAGGTTCCCACATTTTCTAGACAACTGGCTCATAGATGGCAGTAAGGTTGTCAGCCTTACGTGCCAGCTGCCCTTTACCCCCAAGAATATTCCTGGTACGCATTTCTGTTAGAGGCTGAGTCAACCCCAGGGCCATAGTGCAGCTGGAAGGAGCAGGTACATTGAAAAAATCCAATGACCTCATCAGGATTCGATTCTGCGACCTTCCATCTTGTAGCATAGTGCCTTAACCAACTACACTACCATGTATAAATATAATTTAAGTAACTGCACTAGCTAGATAAACGATTTTTGAGACACTAATATGTACTGAGCAATCATTTTTATATGTAATATTTCCTGTATGATTGTAGAATATTTAAACCCATTGCTACTGATGATTCAAATATAAATGCACTGTGTGTAATGATACCCAATATCGGCACATGAATATCAAACCTCTTACTCTTAAACTTAATTGCTTATAAAACATGATGAATACGTACAGGAATTTCAGAGGTGCTGGGGGAGGGAAGTTGGTTATATATAGTTAAATATTAGACTTCACAATTCTGGTCCCATATTTAAATTATTTCTGAGATATCTAAACAGAAATAAGATGGCAAAATGAATTTTGTGCATAGTTACTGAATGTGTAAATATGAGGAGATATATTTGTTGGAAGGGGGACAAAGTTGCTCGTGTCCGTGACATACGTGTCCCCTGTGTAGTGCAAAATGAGCGACAAACCTGGCAAAGCTTCCCAAAAGAAAAGTGCAAACTTCTTAAAGATGCAACAAAGCAAGAACTTGAGTGCTCTCTGCTGGGAAGCAAGACACAAAATGGGTTAAATGATCCCAAATGCAGCCATTGGAAACCAACCAACCAACCAATATTTGTTGGAAAATCCTTTGATGTTACATCTTCATGGTATCTATAATCATAATGTATTTTTGTTATTAACATGTCTTTACAGTGTCTTGATGATCTCAATCCACAGAAAACACATTTTCGTGAGTGTAATAACAATTTATCACCACCACCACCACCACCACCACCACTGCCAGTGCCACAAACATCACCATTACTAATTAAATTATCATGTCTCAATCATGAGTACACTTTCAGTTACTTGTTGATCTACATGGAGGAACAGAATGACCATGCCAAAGCTCAGGGTGTTAGTCCTAATTTTGCTGCCTGGGTTTGATCCCAAGACAGGTCCTTTGGGATTTGTGGTGGACAAAGTGTCACTGTGGCTTGTTTCCTCTAAGTACTTTGGTTTCCCCTGCCAATTCCTCAATTCCTATTCCACTAATTGCTCCATATTCATTTATCATCCTAATATTAAGGCTATACAATTTTTATAATAAGAGCATTATTAAACAACAAATTAAAACAAACTGTACCAAGCGAGGTCTAATGAAAGAAAAATGATTACTTTTATTAAATAATAGAACACAAATGCTATGTCATAGTATTCTTAAAATTAAACAAGTAATTTATCTTGGTATTAGAAATAATGTAATTTAAACTACATTTCAAGGAATGAATTTATGCATGACCAAAAGTTCCAAAATGTGTGAAACTTACATTAGGGGGAATTTGCTTAACAACTGCATCAATATTCAACGTTTAAGTACAATAGATCACTGTGGTGGCGGTGCAAGGGCCAAGAAGGCCCACCCCTTATACATTCAACTTATTTTAAAATATAATTAATATGTAATAAATAAATAAATTTTTAAAATCATGAATAGTGTAATCTGTATATTCTACAGTTAGTGTTTTCTTAACCTTTGTGTCTCCAGACTCTAAGCCTGGCAAGTGTTGAAGAGAGTTTAAAATTCTGTAGAGACAGAAACTGTGTCTAGCACAGGTATATTTTCTATTGCTCTGAAAGTAACATTTGTTATTAAAGGTTTTCAGATATGATTTTACATTATTTTACACTACAGCATTGAAGTATCTCAGTTTTTTTGCATCTGTTTACACAGTATGAAATTGTGCAACTGATCACAATATGCAAAGTGAAAAACCGTACACCCTTTTTTAACAGCAGGAAAATATAAAATGGGTAGTTCTATTTTTAATGTAAATATTCTCTATCTGAAACATCTTTGAGGGTTTATCATTATCAGAGAGTGACACAGGTCATTAAAATCTTAATGGATTCTACTTTGTAGATAAAACTGGAACCAAATTTGCCATGCTAGTGATCTCATTGAACACACAGGAATTTCTTCCACATGGTTGTTTGCTCGAGGTATGGCATGTACTCAGAGATGTTTCAGGTTGGGTATACAAAGATTATAAATATTTTTTATTGCTCAGTACAAATATGGACATTGCATAGCTTAATATAAAGCACATAATAGAATACAATGTGAAGGTAATAAGAACTGTTCATCCCTCACAGCTTAATTTCGGTTATTAAAATTATTTCAAGTCATTATTTTCATCTTTTAAAACAGTTTTTCTCAACTGTTATCACACTTATCATAATTTACTAAAACTGCATGCATGCCTCTATCATTAATTTATGTGTTGAAAATTGTACCATACCAGTTTTTCAGTGCCTGAAGTTGACTGGAATGTAACATTTCAGACTGATACATGAAGTCAATAATACTTACATATATCTGTTTCTGGGAAAATGTCATGTAAGGCAGGAATACATTTACGCAAAGCAACATCATACAGAATCAAGTTAGGCCTCCATTTATTCATAATGCATTAACTTTTTAAATTATTATTTAAAATAATGATAAAATTGCAAAATAGTGTTAGCAGGGTATTATTTATATATATTTTGGAATGAATCTCATTCAATGGAAACATGAACATTACTTTATGATAGGAAGGGCATTCAGTATTGGTTAGATAATATTGGAGCTTTTGTGATTTATATAGTAGCTTGACATGCTTTATGCTTTATGGATTTCAAAATTATTTTGGTTAGGTAGAACACATAATTGGACAAAGGTGAAACTATTAAGATTTAACTGAAGATATGGGATAAAACTAATAGATGCCACAGAAGTTTTGGTGTGATATATTTTATGTAACTCAAGAAGGCAAATTTAAAAGCCTGTAAATTTTCAATGAAAATTATTAATCCTTGTACATCATATGAAGTAATTTCATATATCCTTAGGTGTAGCATATTATGGATAGGGCTAAACATCTTTATTAAACACAACAATAAAAGAATAACCCATGAATATGGATACACTATTCATTTATTTTTTATTAAAACTGTTTTCTTATTATATGTGAACATTATAATTATTTTATGACTAATTAACAACATGGTTCATATAAAATTTAAAATAAAAATAACTGAAAATGGAACTCTTCAGTGGTTCAATGAATGTGTAAATATGAGCTTCAGGAGCTACAATCTCTTTCATCATCACTGTATGTTATTCACACATGTTTTTCATTGTTCATTGTTCATTTTTCATTTATTTCAAATTCTGCATGGGAACTGATTAAATGAAATGCATTCTACAGTGGAGTTTACATATTCCACTTTCATGATTTCCTTCCTTTTCTCACCAGTTCTTCACATATAGCTACACCTTCAGTGGGTTATCAGTACTTTGAAAGGAATTTTTTCACTTCAACTTCTAGTGATTTTTGACCCATTGAATAAAATATGGTGTCATTGACACCAAAGATTAATTCTTAAAATAAGCTCTTCACTGCTGTGTGGAATTTTTTGCAATTGAGTAGTAATGAATATCCACATTGATTCCTGCTATGTACATTAGTGAAAAGAGCACTGCCATTGGCTAACAATGTGTGATGTGAGCAATGGAATATGCACTGCACATTCTACCAGCCATGTTAACTAAATACTCTAATTATGCACTGCTGTCATATAATTGTCTCCTGAAGCGGTAAGGCTATTCTGCTCATATTTATTCCATGATGCTTTTGGTAATAATTTCTGTTTCTCTTTGGGGCTTATCACTCTCTAGGTGTCACTATCTGATTCTTCTTGAAGTATTCTCACTATTTCTTCATCATTCTTAATATGTTCCCTAAAAAAATAGGATATAAGTGAAGTTACTCTTTGTGTCTACTAATAATATGTCACTAGTGTAAGCACAAGAATCTCATACTTCATTTTAGCTCACCCAAATAGAATTTGTCAACTGTTATAGTGTGAAAATTATTCTTGTTACAATTTGTATAAATAAAATTAAATTGCCAAAATGTTTAATATTAAATTGCTTACATAATCAGGCCTGTGGCCTAATCAGTACACCAAGGAACCAAATATACAATTGCATACCTGGTAACAGTCCAGTGGCATTAACAACAGTGGTACCTACCTCAGACAACAGCCAAGACGCTAAAGAAATACAGTACTGACAAGGAAATAGATATTAGGCATGTAGTACTGTTGCCACATTACAGTTAGTAAAAATAATGTGTTCTATGCACTAGTGTATGTGCCTGAGGCTTAAAGCAAAAAGTATGAAACTTTAGTACACCTTCTGTATAAAAATATCTCCATAATAAAAGAAGCTCCTGGAGTCTGTCTGATTATATAATATAAAACTACAACATTTTGCTTATAATATAATCACAGTAATATTAAAAGCAGTTGCATAGGAAATGATAGGGAAAGCTGGATTCCTGAAAAGGAAAATATTCCACTATTGATAATTATGAACTTGATAAACAAGGAATATGTTTATGTTATGTGTGTATAGATATGTATATACGTGCCTGTGCGTGTGTATGCATATGATGAAACTATACGATGATACACAAAGTGATTTTCAGCTTGGTTCAGAGGTAACAGCAAGAAAACCAACAAGTTAATTTGCTGTCAGCTTCAGGGTGCATAGGTATTATGATGCAGTTATGACAACTGCAAAATATTAAATTAGCAAACTATCCCCATGCAGATATTTCAGCTTTGTAACTGAAATAATAACTTAAGTATTTTTCTTCAGCACATACTATTCAAATATCATAAAATTAAAGTAATGCTCAATAAATAACTCACTTCTTAATATTTCTGACAAGTTCCTCATTAAACAGTTTTAAACTGGTTGGGTTACATTATTCATTGTTGTTAGGCCCAGTTTATTCTCAACTCAGTCTAAAGAACTTGATCTTCTTGGCTATAAATATTAGGCACTGTGCTCTGGTAAAGTTGACAGCAATGTGAACTGTGACATGACTACTGGCAGGGTTATTTTTGATTGAAGGGTTGAAGTAGATGAGTTAAGAGTGTGTGTGTTACAAGCACATTTGGAAACCTCCCAAAATTATATGAGCTAAAATATATTTCAAAAGAATCATAATAATTCTGCTGTCATTTAGGGTACTAAGGTTTTTGTCCTTTTATTACTTTCATTGTCCATCATTTTAAGGAAAATGTGTTCTCTCTATAGTTATTATACCTTTAAAATATACTAGTTCATAATAAATAATATGATAAATCCACTAATTTGTAATATAGTATTCTACCTACAAGGCATTTTTAAAAGAGTTCAATGAGAAAATAACATATTAATGGAAACTGCCATCTTGATAAGTGTATGGGAACCTCATGTACAAGTGAATATGGCTCTCTTTAAGATTCTTATCTTCTGCTATGTGATGCCATATATTTTGGTAGATAGATAGTTACATATTTGAGGAAACTCACTGTACTGATCAATTTTCAAATGTATGTGAGCCCTTACGACTTAGTAACTCTTTGCCCTGATTTATCATGTACTTCTTACTTAACATCCCAAACCTAAGTTTCTTTCTCACCTCTGCAATAGCTGATGTTTTTGTCTTGTACTTATGACACACTAATATGTCAGTAAAATGAAATGATTACCAGAGACCTTTTTTAAAAGTTGGTTATTTAATGATTCTGTTGGTATTGTATCCAGACTACATATCATCAATGACAAAATTATTACTGAATGTGGAGCATCTGGTGCAATGAGAATTAGCATGAGAAACTGAATTAGATGGAACAAACCCACCCCAGTGCACTTTGTCCACCATAAATCCCACATAACCTAACCTGAGATAAAACTCAGACTGTCATGTTGGAAAGCTGGGTAACTAACCATCTGAGTAATGGCAAAGCCTCCTGATACACTTTCTTTATATAAACTCATGGAACTGCAAACAGACATGTACACTGCCAACAGCAAAGACCAACTGATGCTGATTGGTTTAGCTTTCATCACATGAGAACCATTGCTATGGTAATACTAACAGACATTCATTGTCATCTTTGAAGTTTAATACATAGATTACTGTCTTCTGGGTTGTGATACAACGTAGTCCAGTAGTCCTCTACTGATATTTCAGAGAACTGTGCTACCTCCATCTTCTATCCTGAACATGAAGACAGCAAATTCCTACAAAATACGGGTAACTATCTACCAGTCCACATAATATCGCATACCAGAAGACAGTAATTTTTGCACTCACTGCCATGAAAATCTCAAATCTCTCATGTTTAATACTGATTTCCTGAAAGTGTGTGGGATATGTTTCATACTGAAATAACCCACTAAGTTTAATGGTGACATTATATTTGTGAGCCTCATGGAGACAATAATGATGTAACATCATTAGTGGTTTCATAAGCCTTGCATCAAAAGTATCATTTGGCATGTGAAAATTGGTTCCAGAAGAATGGGAAAGGAAGCAGTTATAGTCTCCAATGATGGAGGGAGAGACAGTTTCCAAAATACTAGAAATTTGTTCCAGTTTGGTGTGAATGATTGCTCAAGAACATTTCAGTGTGTTCAGTTGCTATAAAAGTTTCATATCTTAAGAGTTTAATTTTTTGTTGGAGACTGAGGAAGAAGAGAATGAAAAACTCGAAATAGATTTTGGCTGCAATCTGCTATGAAATGTGGAGCTAACTTGTACTAATGGAAGGAGAGGAAAGAAAGGTTTAAAGTCCATTTAAGTGTACTAGCTATTCACAGCATAATGGAGAAATAATGGCGCATTTCGTAAAATTTTTCTGCTGAAATTGTGTCCCAAAACTAACCATAAATTATGTCAATTGTATAGTTCTGGGTAAACAGTGTATTTTGGATTATATCAGTTCTATGATTAGCCAGATATAATTAACTGTGAAAGCTGGAAGACAGGTGGCTGGAATGCTTACTGCAGAAAAAATGAGACTTATCCCAGTAGGAAATTAATCTTTGCATAACCAAAGGGCATTAAAAAAATAGAGAGAGCAAGTACAAAGTGGCTAGGCAGCACTGGAAATCTGCTGGTTTTTTGAATCCATGGTAGAAAGGAAATTGCGCTGGATAAGAACCAACACAGGGGCATCTTTGAGGTGGTGAAGATCTATACTGGTCCACAGTAAAACAGAAGAAGAAAGTTAAACATATGTTAAATGCCAACTATAGTGTTGGTACACAGGTTTGAAGAGGATGAAGTTCTAATCTACAGCTTGATTTTGAATTTTGTAACTGTTTAATTATATGAAAAAAAAAAGTTATTGGTTTGCCTTTTAAATTTTTGGACATTCAGACTGTTAAGGTCTGAATCACTCGTGGCATGTTGGGTGCCAATAAAATGTGTGCAGTATTTCAATATAACATCGCAAAAAGCAGAACAAAGACAGAATGTGAAATAAATTATTCTGTAACTTTTATGCTGTTAATCTGAAAGTCCTGCATATAATTTATGTGTATAAATTTGAGTATGCCCTCCAGAGTAAAAGAAAGTATATTATAAAGCCTAAACAATTTCTTTGAAATGTATTTAAAAAAGAGGAACAAATACCATTACAGTTGTGTGGTGCTCTGAACAGTAACACTGAAATCCATTAAAGATTTATGGATGTTGGTAAACTTTCAACTAAAATAAAAACCAGAGAAGAGGCATACAACAGACATATGTAACATGAGTTCACCAATAAACATTTTCAGTCCTGACATTTTTAGCTATCACGGTTGTCATAATCTTAACCTCTTAATATTCTTGGAAATAACATATCTCAGTCTTGCACAACATTTACTTCTAGTATTTCTGATACTTTTAGCAAAGTACTATAATCTGCAATGTCACTATGTGAACTACTGTTTAGACAGCAGCTATCCTAAAATTCCAGTCCCATTCATATTCATATTCATAAACACCATAATTCTACTGATAAACAACCTCCATCTTTTTTTTTTTTGAAAATCTCTAAGAAGCTTTTTGAATAAATTTGCAAGGGAAATTCTGGTGTTATAAAATGGAGGAAATTTGGTTCTTGTATCTTTCACAAACATAACATCAATCTGCATTCTTGTTATAATGTTCTCAGTTGTATCCACAGATGCTCACTTTTCCTGTCTGAAGAGACTGTTAAAGTCTGGAGCTTGGAAAACAATCAGTGTTATGAATTCCACTCCTAATTTTTTTAATTATTCAAAAAACTGTCATCATTTCACAGTTTAATGCAAAATATATCATGACATACATATAACAAACATTCTATGTGCACTGTTTCAAAATACTGTTAGTGTAGTGTCCAATTATAAAATGAGAGAAAACTGTTTATGTCTTGCATTCCTGTGACAGAGAATCATTTACCTCAGAGACAACAGATTCTCACACACAAGAACTTTAGATCAGCAAGTGATCAGGCCATCAGAATTTCTCTTATATATTAAGAATCGTCTCAGATCATAGTTCTGCTATTAGATTGTATTAATCTGAAGTTCTCTATGTTTAAACTTCAGACACAGAGGTGACAGCATAATAATTCAGTATTTGATATGTTTTCAGAAATACAAGTGATATACCACTGAATTTTACTGTTCACAATACACCACTCTGGCAACATATCAGACTTGGTGTACAAGTAAATATTAATATTAGTAATGCCACAGTTGATGACAGGGAGGTAAGTTTTTCACAACAGGAATGATGATGAAGATTCCTATCTTTCGATATGCGATGCCAAATGGTCTGGTAGATGTTACTGATATTTTGGGGGAACATGCTGCCTTCATCTTCAAGATGGCAGGAAGACAGCACATTCCTCTGATAAATCAGTGAACACCTATCAGACTACATGGTGTCACATCCCAGGAGATGGTAATTTTCATAATCACTGCAATGAAATGCTGATGCTGTACTTGAGATAGAGGCTTGTTATGCAAGCAAGTAATCATGAATAAACGCTATTTATTCTTCTGTGTAACTACCATACTTGTGTACTTTCATACCATGTTATAACAAAGCCTGACTAAACACAATTTAATTATCTCTAAATCAAATTAAGAATTTTATATTGCAAAAAAATCCAACACGTTTTAGAGCAGTACTAACTGTTTCACTGATGTAATATAAAACATGTGCATGTTTATGCAGATAAATATCACTGTAAATTGGGTAGAGTCCAGACTTACACATAATTTTGATATAAAAATGAAACTTCATTTTCTGATCACTTCCTTACAATGCTCATTATAGTGTGTGCATGTGTGGTATCTTTAATGAAACTTTTGGTATTTCAGATTGTATAGGTAGGATGACTTATAAATGCTGGTTTGGAAAGGATTTGGAAGGAAGAGGTCATGGCCTAATTGGGGTAATGTCCTAAAATTTGCCTGGAGGGACTGAGGAAAGCCACAAAAAATTCTCAGATGGGATGGCCAATGTCCCAGCTGAGATTTTAACTGATAACCTTACAAATACAAGTCTACAGCATTACAACTGTACCAGTGTGCTTGGTGCTCATTGTAGTGCAAACAGCTGGCAGAAGAAATAGTAATTAACTTTCAAAATTGGAGAACATTCTTGCCTAGAAGTAAGGCACTGGACATGTGTCTGAGGTTTGAGACTGGATGGATCGAGATCAGATTTTTCCATGTGCCTCTCTGCCTCACCTCTTATACAGATTAAATTTCTGAAAGTGAAGAATATCTATGTTAGGTTGCACTGCTTCTCTGTCAGTCACTATCCTGTAATCTGCCACTTACCTAGATGTTTGCCTCTACCTCAAAAATAAATTCTGAAGTTGACAGGGACAAGGATGGTCCAACAGACCACAACTGGTGGGTTTACCCTCAGCAGTAACACTGAACACTGATTGTTTTCCTTCCTATGATACTAATTTTTCACAGAATGTGTATGAGGCAGACAATTCTTAGTCTTGTCAAGCAAATTTCTCTACAGTTATCCCTTGCATACTGCCACTTCCCTTGGGTAAACATTATTCTCTTCATGATAAATGATGAAGATCCACAGGAAATATGTGTGTCCACTTATGTGTGCCGGTCTGTGTAGTTACTCGCTATTGCTTGAATGTGAAGAAACTTGTACCAATTTCCCATTCTTCAAAATCAAGTGGACCAAAGCAGTCATCCAAAAACGATTCCATAGCCTTGTAAAAATGATGTTGAACTCCAGAGAAGCTGTGACCTTCATCTGCATATGTCTGAAAATAAATACTGCTGATATGAGTTACCCATTCATTTAGTAAAATGTCAGCCTGGAATATTTAGCTTATAAACTGGTAGATAATGCGTGTCTATACATTTGATTTTACAAAATAGTGTTGAAGCCAGTGAAGTGCGAATTCAGTAGATCTGGATACGAGAAGTTAATGTTTTGTTTTATGACATTACAAGAAATTATAAGATGCTACCACTCTTTTTCTCTCCTAATTTGAAAATCAGTAATAGCTCTTCTACTGATATTTGTATTCAAACAACATTTACTGAATATAGCATGATTAATACGTAGGTCGTACCGAAAGTCATGAGCAACTTTTTTTTGCATGCAACCTGGGAACAGCAGACGAAAGAGAGTATGATGGTAGGTGGAACCAGCTGTTGTATTAACCTTGAGTGTCTTGTGACGTCAATAACTTGCATCACGTGACCAGTATCACTCCTAACAAAATGGCCGACAATGATATGTCGTTTTGCCAGCGTGCTGTCATCGAATTTCTTGTGAAAGAGGAAATTCCTGCTGCAGAAATTTACCAGAGACTTCAGGGTTCTTATGGAAATTTGTGCATATGTGCGAGCAGTATTTGAAGATGGATGAAACATTTTAAATATGGGAACACCAGCATTGAAGATGAGCCTCAGAGCGGTCGTCCTCGAACAGTCTCAACTGAACGCATCAAGGAAAGAGTGGATGAGATCATTCAAGATGACAGGCATGTGACTGTGGACACAATAGCCCGAAAACTTGGAATAGGGCACAGTTCAGTACAGGAGATGATTGAAAGCTTGGGCTATAGGAAAGTTTGTGCTCGTTGGGTCCCGCAGTTATTGACCGAAGACCACAAAGGTCAGTGAAAAGCCATCACCCCAGAACTGCTGCAGAGATACCGACAAGAAGGCCATGATTTTTTGCTCTGTATTGTGACAGGTGACAAAAGCTGGTTTCACCATTTCGAGCCTGAAACGAAACAGCAGAGTATGGAATGGCACCATTTGCATTCTCCATCAAAAAAGAAGGCAAAGACAGTGCCATCAGCTGTGAAGGTGATTGGCACAGTCTTCTGGGATGCAGAGGGGTTTATTCTGGCTGAATTCCTGGAACCTGGGCCAACCATCAATGCTGCTCGTTATGTCCAGATGTTGCACAAGCTCCATCGTGCATTGCATGATAAACATCCGGGATGAAACATCATCATGACAACGCTTGCCCCCAAGCCGCTTGCCTCACATTGGAAGCAATTGCAAAGATGGGGTAGGAAGTTCTTCCACACCCCTCCTATAGCCCTAATCTGGCACCCTCTGACTACCATCTTTTCAGATTTGTGAAGGATCAGTTGCACGGACAACGTTCTGAGACAAGGGAGGCAATTCAGAAAGCAGTGTGTCAGTGTCTTTGGATGACTGGAACGGAATTTTACAGAAGGGGAATTTTCAAACCCCCAGAACGCTGGGAGAAATGTGTACAAAGAAGTGGCGATTATGTGGAAAAATAAAGAAAGGTCTGTAGATTGAGGTGATGTATTTGGTTTGTCAATAATAAAGCATGTTACTTTACAAAAAATTGTTGCTCATGACTTTCAGTACGATCCTTGTAATTGTGCTAATGAAGATATTAATAGAGTGTCACGTGTTTCAGGCATGAGGTAATTAAAATGAAAGTAACTATTTTAATGTAATAATGTTTACAAGCCATGATTTATGTACATCAGTCTGGTGCTCTGCCAAGTTGACAAACTGGAAAGGATCAGAAAGAACTGATTAGGCCTATAGCAGAAAATTATACTCAATGCACTCATAATTCAACACAGCTGTCTCATATTTAACATTACAGTGGAGTCCAGATTTAAGATTTCTTGATCTAAGAGAGTCCAAATTTTGTGTTAATTTTTTTTGGTTCAAACCAAAACCCCATGTAAATAAATAATGTTCAATTTTCTATGGTGTAATGTTTCCTGTTATAGTGTTTTACATTAATTGTACATTAATTGAAATGAAAGTGCAGTACATTCATTAAATCTGTACTTTGATTTCAGTATCATATTTAACTGAAAGGAAGATTTAGTGTTTTCCCTATTATCAGAGTCGAATAATGAAGGATTGTCTTAAGTTTTAATCTTATAAATACAGTCAGTGTTTTTGAACACCTTAAGAGATGAGTTTGGCCAAAACAACAACTGAAGCTATAAATTAGAAAATGTAATATCCCCAAAAAAAGATATTACAGCAAAAGTCATGGTGTTTGGAATGGTGAAGGCAGAAAATGTCTAAGAAAAGGTAAACTTAATGTATAACATATTTTCAGATATTAGTCCCTATCACATATTTGTTTGTAGCAGCTGTGTCAATTACATTTAAAATTACTTTTTATATGCAAGCATATTTCTGAGTGGGGAGACATCTCAGATTCGGAGTTGTCTCCCATTCACATAAATACACAATTTATGAACCATTTTGTTTGCTCAAAGAAACCTAGAATTTTTCATGTCGCCTTGTTGACCTTGAGCAGATGCATGCAGGACGAGTGAGCAGAAATGGCATAAAAGTGTTAAAGCCTATTGTATACTTAGGGTAGTCCCAAATATAATTTCAGCCTTGCTTAACACATACATTTTATAAAGCTTTTATTTATTTTGTCATTTTTGTGTAAGTTACATTTAATTGTGTAAATGCTGTACATAATATACAGACATATATCAAATCTACTGTTAAAACAAGAACATATATACAGAAAGAAAAATGTTGATTTAATTAACATTTGATATGCAATCAGATATATCATGTAATATTTTCTGTTGTTATTAGACTAAAATATAATATATTTTCCCACCCTGTGTTACATTTTAGAAAATATTTCAAGTGAACGATGGAATGTCATTTCAAGTTTGAATTTTATATAATTCTCATACAAGATTTCTCTTGATTTAAGATATATAAATCTTACCCCCAAGGAAAAATTTAAATGGGAATTTCACTGTATTATGTTAATGGTGCCTCAATAATAAATGTGCTCATTAAGATGATGTTAATATATTTGAGTTGAATTAGGTACTTTATAAAATTTAGGAGAAAAATAAATTAATTTTAACTGTATTATTAATTTCTTATTGACACTTATTTCTTGAGAACAAATTTGCAGATTAAACAATCTCATTTTGAAACTCTGAAATATTAATTGTACTACTGCCTCTGTTCACAATAAATAAATAATCATATTCAAGATTGTGTCATACTTGAAACCTGTTACATAATTTACCTAAATGCTGAAAAACAGATGCAGTCTTCAAAGTCAAATACATATAATTTTAAGAGTTACTGGAGAAGAAAGAAAGAGCAGTGCACAGAAAGATACAAGAATCCCAGACACAAATAATTGTAAAAAGGGCATTTGTTGTTCTTTTGTTTCCTTTCTCCAGGGTTACTTGCATCTACAGTCTTTTCTGATCAGTGTTTGTGTCCATAATTCATTAACTTACAACATGCGGAGTATTGGCATTTTTTCCCACCTGGTGTCTGAAGAGCACTCCCTGATCAGTGAGTGCTCTAACTAACATCATGCTCTGCTGATAATGTACTGTGTGATCAGCTGTTCCATGAACTAAGAGAAATAGCTTATTGCGCAGATTTCCAGCACGTTTGGTGACATCTGCCTCTTCATACCCTCGGTAGTTATCTGTTACATTAGGTGTCCCCATGTAGCGCTCTGTATACACTGAGTCTACGATAAACATACATAAAATCATTACTAAAAATCTTATATTATATAATATTCTGCACTCAACCTAGGTAGCCAAAATGCTTTTACATATATCCTGATGTTGTTTATAATTTTCTTTTGCCTTGTTTAAATATTTACTTCAACTCTCAGTTTGAAAAAAGTGTGGGCTGTAGGAGAATGAATTACTGTTCGAGGTCATCTGAATACAAATGTTCCAAAAACAAGAGCAAAAGAAGAGTGCCTTCTAGGCATAACAGTATATATAATTTCTTTATTAAAACCATTACAACACAACAATATTAAGGTCAGTGCCTAGTTTGGTTCTGCTACATGTTTCGGCTATTAATAACCATCATCAGGCAAATACATGGCTAACATATATACACCACTGAACTGCAGTACTAATAAAATTGGATACAATAATATTAATTATATTAAAATACTTGGAGTAAAAGTACAATAAATTAGATTATATAAAACGAAAGTTATAGTATAAAACAAGAATATTCTTCGAGTGATGCTTTGCATTATCGAGTCATTTATTGGTTTTTGTGATTTTGTTGTGTTCCCACAGACAAATTGTAGTATCTTACAAAGTATTGTCCATTCTGTAGGGAATGTAAACAACAAATTGTTTGTAAGATGAGGCACGGACTAAATAATTAACATTAATATTACTACAGCTACATCATGAGCCTCCAAAATAATTTATTATGCTATATATACGAAATATAGAATACTCCAATTTGTCCATGGGAACAACACAAAGCCACAAAAATCAGTGACTGACTCGATGATGTAAAACATCACTCAAAGAATTTTATTCTTGTTTTATATTATAACTTTTGTTTTTATATAATCTAATTTATTGTATTTTTAAGCCACATATTTTAATATAATTAATATTATTGTATCCAATTTTATTAGTACTGCAGTTCAGTGGTGTATAAACGTTAGCCATGTATTTGCCTGATGATGGCTATTAATAGCCGAAACATGTAGCAGAACCAAAGTAGGCACTGACCTTAATATTGTTGTGTTGTGACAGTTTTAATAAAGAAATGATATATTATAACACAACAGGATGCATGAAATGAAAAAATAACAGTTTATGTTGGATGCTTGGTAGTCAAGCAGTTTTAAATTACATGATTTTTGGATGATTAACACATTTATACTTAGATAGCAGTCTTGGAGCTGAACCTAGGTGAAGAGATAAACTATGGCCAGAACATACATATAACCAAACATTTAAATAAGACAAAAACGCTCACAGAAACCAAATAAATGAAGTCTTCTTGGAAAATCAGTGTGGAATGAATTTCCAGCTATATGGAGCAGGGACTGATATGGTGAATGACATGATTCTTGGTTGTATATATACAAATAGTTGCTCTTAAAGCCTAGTGTCCTTGTCTGCATGCAGATCAATAGGGAGAACAGTGGGTAGAGTCTATGGGAACTTCCCACAGTCCAACAGACTACTACTTCGGTCAACCAAACAATTCTCACTCCCAGGGCATATCAAGTCACATTTGTAGATAATATACACCTGTTATAGTTTTATGTGGTTGTCTCTTGGAACATTGACATCTCACAAGTCAAACATTCCCTCATCTGACCTAGAAAGACAGTCACTGTTGCTTAACCTGGAAAATCTGGGAAGACAGCAAGTGGTAGTAAGTAAGTTGGTGCCTAAGGCTAGATTTGATGATTTCATTTTATTTCTGAAGTTATCTTTGTTCATGGGATTGAAAATTGTGTTTGGATACTTCTCACTCCCTTTCTCCTGAAATTCACATGCACACACAATTATGTACTTTCTTGATGCATGAAAACTGATAAGACATTCATCCATCTAGATTCATGGACTTTATATGATATCATCTGCATCTTGATCAAGGAGTGGAGATTAGTAACCATGACTCACCATAGTGAGTCCAGCTGGTTATGGGTGCAACAGAGATGCCACAGTGAAAAACTTTTTCATCCTGTGCTAAGATCATGGCTGTTGCAAATCCTCCATAGCTCCACCCCCATACTGCTATACGATCCCTGTCTACATATTTGAGATCCCGCAAGTACCTAAAATCAGAGAAAAACAAAGGAATGAATTTCAGTATACAGAGAGTGTGTATGGACAGAGAATACAGATATGATATAACTTAGAGACACAGCAAAATGTGTCCTCCAGAAAAAATTTTAAGTTTAGTGTAAAACTGAAATGAACTATTATATCTGTAGTAGGTATGGTTACCTGGACCCTTCTTGTATTATGTCACCATATATTTTATTCCCCCTCCTTGGTGTCTCCACCTTATCGTGGTGAGGGAGTTTGAGTATGCCAAGGACCCTGAGAGCTATACCAGCGGTAGCGTAGCTACTGGCAGGGCCTCCCTTGCTGGACAGGTCAAAGGGTAGGCATCAGACGAAGAGAGACACCAAAAACTGATGTCGGAAGCAGCGTCATCAGCAGCGACTTGAAGCACAGAGCAAATGATGCTCGAGATGGTTCAAGTTCGTATAGCAACAGGCGTGACCAGAGTGGTTTGAACGGCTGTTGTACTGCGATGTGGAAAGCAAATGGAAAAACTACCACATTATCACTTTTCCTGGATAGTCTCTTTCCAAAAACAGAAGATCGCATTAAGTGGAGAAACTGTTTTGGAAGAGACTGTGGACCTGTCGCCTGACAGATTACTGATGATGATGATATTTTATTCTTTATAACAAACTAATCCACTAGTGAGAGATAGAAAGAGATAGTCATTTTTGAGAAGCTGATAGTCACTCATCTAGCCAAGTCTGTCATATATGCAAACAAAAGGTACATTACTGGGTTCAGCAATGCCCAGTAAACTCTGTCATAAGCCAGATTAATTCAGTCCACACACACTCACACAGCAGTTCTTTGAGATCCATCTTAATATGAGTATTACCCTTGCATGCATGTCTAAATTTCCAAGTAGTCTCTACTTTTCAGTTTTGGGACTTGCTCTCTCATAAATCAAATATTTCCTTTGTATCCCATTCTCAAACAACCTAAATTTATGAACAAGACCCTTCTTTTAGATTTTGTGCATTGACCCAGCTTTACAGAATCACAAAATTTCAGGAATTGGCTCTATTTTCATCATCGGGGGAAAAGAATCTGCTATGGTAGATCTGCATGTACAGGTACTCTCAAACCATGGCAATGTCCAAGGGAACAGCCTTAAATGAGTCACACCATCATAAAGAAAGCTTAAACTTAACCCTCGATCTGTGTTATTCCCCTAGGGCGAGAGTCCAAATTTCACACTCATACAAAACAATATGTAAAATTATAATTTTGTCTATTTTAATCTGTATGTTTCTATACAGGAGACAAGAAGACAAAGAGATAATGGGGTGAATGGTAGCAAGAGTTCCTTCAATTTAATCTGTTCTTAATTTCTGTGTGACTAATTTGATTTATTGTCGTCATTTCATATTCCTAAAGTTGTATAAAACGAAGTATCATTCTTTAACACGTGCTACTTATATACTTATTATTTATAATGTTGTCATGAACATTTAACTTACTTGGTAACAGCAATCTGATCTTCAATTTCAACACTGCCCAAACGATAATGCATCTCATGCAGGAGACGGTCACCTTGAAAACCAGAGCCCCGGCCATCTATCTGTGCTACAATGAAGTTGCGGTTACTGGCTAAATATGTTCCCCAGTCCACAGACCATTGCTCAGAGACAAGCTGTGATCCTGGTGCTGCACACCTACACAGTACAGGCAGTGATATTTTAATACAGGAACATATAGACAGTATTTTGATCGTGGTCTTCTGGTTTATATTACATAGTCTGGCAGGAAGTTCCAGGTGTTTTGAAAGATTCTGCTGTCTCTCTGTTCAGGATAGGAAATGTTTATCCTGAAGACTGAGATTGCAGATTCCAGACTACTTGTTTTCTTAACTCTGAACACTACAATTAAAATCTTTACTGCAGTAAAAACCTCAAATTTCATATGAAGATTAATACTGATGTGATCTGGGGGATGATCATAACTTTCAGCTTGTCAGCTTTGAATACAGAATGTAATGAAAAACACTGCATGATGTACAGATTAATCCCTGTTATGACATATCAAAATCCATTTCACTCAGTCCCAATACAACAATGGTTTATTTAACAAAATATTTATTTATTATTTATTTATTATTTATTATTTACATGAAACTTCATCATTCTTCCCACTATTAGGTTTACATGGCCTGTTGCAGTTATTATAAAATAGAACCTATCTTTTTGAAGGTATTCCTAATTATCTTTCTCCAGGAGTGAGTCACTCTTCTGCCTTGAAGATGAAGGCAGCAAATTCCTCCACAACACTAGTATCTGTCTACCAAATTAAATAGTGTCACATCCCAGAAGACCCTAACCTTAATATATGTCACTGCAAGAACCACAGCTCACATGAATTACAGTTAGTTACGTGTCATTTATAAAATAACAGGGCAGTGAAAGTACACAATGTAAGCTTAAGGAGCATGTTTTGCATCAGTTAGAATGTAAGTAATGAAGATTATGAGGAATTTGTCATTTGTAATAAACAAACTTTGAAGTCACATGCCGTTATTCACTTTTATATGATACTCATTCAAAGTTTTGAGAAATCATAATTATTGGCTTATACTGAATGAACAAGGAAAACAGATTTTAAGGCTTCGCTGTTCCCTGTCATTAAACACACTAAGAGAAAATTAAATACATATACACTCTGTGTTTCAAAGTCATATTGTAATAGGGCACTACATTAAAATAGTAAAATAAATCTTATTTCTGTGCAGTCTAAACTAAATTAAATCTTTTTGCATTTTTCTTAATTGCAGTTGTGTTTGAGAGGCCATGGTTGAATGTTCAACACACAAGCTCAGAAATAAACACACAGCAATTCATATGTTTAATTATCTAGGAAATTACTTATGGGAGAATCAATTGGACATCAAGCATGTTTCATTCTTCCTACAGATTTGTTTGAAACATTCTTCTCTCTGATAAGCTCTTATCAAGACACATTTGAGATATGGACAGAAATACATGTGTGGTCATTAAAATTTCCTAGTCTAAATGAAAGTTAAAACAGCTTGACAAATTTTGCAGTATTCTCGAATACCAAATTTAAAGAAAATCTGTCTGGTGGTTTGTGAATTGTTCCATGCATACAGACAGGTAGAGGGACTGCGGGAACTAGTATGCTCTTTAGCTTTCCAAATGTGCCTAATTAATTCTTTTGAATGGAATTATTTTATTTTAATTAATGTAACTATTTTCAGAATGGAATGGAAGTTCAGTTCATTATTGTATTTAGATAATGCGCATACAAAGTACTCACACATGCAATATGAGAGGGAAAGTCATTTCTTCATCTTCCCTTAATCCTGGTGGCAGATGAAGACGCACCTGTGCATGATAACCTCCTTCTACCAACACTTTGATAGTTTTCACCTGTGAAAAGATACAGGGTTGTACTTGTTTTGTATGGGTGTACTGAAAATGTTTCCAGATTGATTCCAAGGTAACACTGTTCAAGTTATGAATAGTAAACAGTTTCTCTGTTAGATGGTGATGTAATTCAATAGGCTGAATAATTAGGCATTAATTTCGAAACTGCTGTATGAGTCATTCTGAAGTGACATCATGAGAATGATCAAGCATGTTATTATCTGTGAACTGTTAGTGTTCATGAAATTCTCTTCCAAACTAAGAATAACTGAAACTTGCTTTTGAAATGGAAACAATGAGTCTATTTAAAGTTCAAAAACGGAATGACTTCTGTTGAAGACACCATTTGGGGCATGCTTTTCAATACATACATATATTTCACATTTCACAAGTCCAAAATACAATGGACATGAAACTGGTCACAAGCATAACACTAACAAACGAAGCAGAAAGGCAATATTGATGGCATTGCAAATCAGACAATTAACAGACTGGGCAAAACATCAGCACTGCAGCCACAATGTTTTCAAAGTTAAAATATACTGTCACCTAACAAGAATAATAATAATATAGAGTGATCACTGAAGAAAATGCTCAGGCTGTGCTTAATACACACCATGAACATTAATTCCATTCATGTCTGTTTCATATCTATTCTGGAGGCCTCATTCAGGTTTTCAATATCTCTTTTCTATGAAAAGGAATAGAGGTTAGATTAACATGAATGATGAATAAACATGATTTTACACAAGACTAGATGAAAAACTCTCATCAGATAACAGAGAAATTTTGAACGTTCCATTCTCCTTGAGATTTCTTTACTCCTTATACATATCTGTGAAACTTAGCAGAGATACAGATTTCTTTGTGAGTAGCTGCAAGTTTGGAATTATTGATCTTCTACAGAAATTTACAAATGAATTCCAGATGGATGACTTCGAAGCTATAAATATCCATATAGTTAAAATACAAAGCTTTACAGTTACTTGTTTGTAACATATTTTAAAATGATTAATTAATTTAAGCATATTGGATTTGAGATTCTCACAGCAGAGTATATGAAGAGTAAGGTCTTCTGGAATGTAGTATGGTGTAGTTCAGAGGCAGCCAGTATTTCAGAGGAACATATCATCTTTGCCTCCATGGTAGAGTTGCAAAGCAAGAATCCGACAGAAACAAATGGCAAACTGACTAATTGTTCCAGATGAATTCTTGGCTTACTCTTTAACCAAGAATAGGGAAATTATATATTTCTGTGATATGTTGGGCTGCCTCCAAAATATATGATGTTAATCTTGAAGTCTTCTAAATAAGCATAAATTTAACTTGAAAATTGCATTGTATTAGGAAGCTTCTGAAGTTCATTTGCCAATTCATTGAAAATTATGGCTAAGATACAATACAAGAAGATACAATTTTTTCAAGTTTTAACAGTTAATAAATCTGCATACAAAGTTACAAGACTTCTTCATGTGTTGTGTTGTAGTAGTAGTAGTAGTAGTAGTAGTAGTAGTAGTAGTAGTAGTCTTTATTTCCATAAATCCAATACTAGAAATAAATACATTCAGAGGATGTGGAAATGTCAAACAAAACACATAAATAAAAACAGTACAAGGTACCAAGTCAATATACAGATATGTTAAATAATACTACTGAGATCATAAAAAACATAACGAGTATGAATTCAACCCTTCCTATCAAAAATACTCAAAATACACTTCAAATATATAAAAGAAACAACAATAAATACAGCACAAAACGCTAATCATACAGATATAATAAAATAATACAACTAAAACCCAAGAAAATAACCAGCATTAAGTTTACTCTTCCTATTAAAATTCACAAAATACTCTTCCAATACATAAAATGAGTAACAAGACTAGAATTCTTCAGATTCAATTTAAAACTGCTAACACCTTTGTACAAATTATATGAATATGAGCATATCAGATTGATACTACATCTTAAAGATACTCAGAATTCTCTTCCAAAGTATAATAAATAAAATACAAATAATTAAATAAATAAACAGTACAAAAGTACTAAGTCAATGTACAAATATAAATAAATAATACAACTAAAACTCATGAGTATGATCAGTGTCAAAATTACCATTCAATTAAAATACACAAAATACTCTTCCAAGGTATAAAATGAGTGATTATACAAAAATTCCTTTATCTTTAATTTAAATTGTTTGACATCTCTGTATAATTGTTTCAGGTTTAATGGAAGACTATTGAATAATTTAATGCCCATATAATACGAGCCTCTCTGGTATAATGATAAATGAGTTGAAAATTGATAAAGATTAAGGTTAAAACCCTGTCTAGTGTCTCTGTTATGTACATCAGATACAAATTGATATTGATCCATGTTAAGTACCACAAAGCATAAAAGTGAATAAATGTATAAGGATGATAGAGGAAGAATTTTTAAAGTGGTAAATATCTGTCTACACGAGCTTCTATTACTAGCACCAGTTATTATTCTAACCACCCTCTTTTGTAAACGAAAAATATTTATGGCATATGAAGAATTACCCCAAAAAATGACACCATAGTCAATAAGTGAATGAAAATAAGCATAGTAAACCATCAACAAGGTTTCCTGATTTACATATGGTTTAATAGCTCTGATTGCATAACATGCAGAGCTAAGTTTTGGGATGAGTAAGTCAATATGAGTTTTCCAAGATAATGTGTTTACAATGTTAACTCCCAAAAACTTTATATGGGATGAATTAGAAATTTCCATATCATCATATACTATCTTAGTAGCGTGCTCGTATATATTCTTTGTTTTGAACTTAATGAATTCGGTTTTAGAAAAATTAAAAGATAATAAATTGGCATTGAACCATGAATCTAATTTATTGAAAACTTCAGCCACATTGTGAAGAAAATTTAGAGGATCTGGATTACATATAATTACACTAGTATCATCTGCATAAAGAATAGGAGAAGAAATCCTATTTAATCCTATGTGTCAAAAATAATTGTATGTTTATGGCATACACTTCTCAGTTGCTATTGAAAAAATGTGTGCACACTTACATGCATGCCAGTGAAACCCAATCAAATAAAATGTTCATATTGTGCAAAATGTATGTTTCTTACAGCCCTTGGTCACACACTATCACATTTGTGATATTCCTGCAATACTTAAAACAAGAGTAAGTACCTGAGGTGAGGCCATGACTGCAAGACGGTCCCTGAGGGCAGGTTGCGTGTCCAGCACAGCAAGTTTTGTGTTGCTCCACAGGTCCACGAGGGAAGCACTTGGGGGGTCTGGCCCCAGGCACTCCAACACATAAAAGCGAGGACTCAGGCCTGGGCTCAGGTGTGGTGCCACATACAAGCATGGTGGCCATGAAGCCAACTCACTGGCATTGTAATCAGGGCTGCTAGAAAGTTTATAAACTGCTTTACATATGAGGAACTGATAGTCTGATAAAGATCCCCACCTTATTTATATTTATATNTGTGTGCACTGCTGTGTTATGTGTTTTCAGTGAATTTTTAGAAACTTCCATTTATTTTTGAGAAAATTATGCATCTTAAAACCTATAATAGACAGATATATATAAATAAAGTGATGAATTTTTTGTTTCTCTTGGCGCTATAAAATGGGAACCTCAATATGCTAGGATGAGTAATTTTCAAGAATTAAGGGGGGAGAGATGTATTTAGTGGATTTCCCAAATTTTATGGGGATACTTAAACTGAAAAGTGAGAGTTTTAAGTGCCTAAAACCTGCCCTAGGTAAGTCCTCTACCATTATACCAAATTTGGTCAAAGTATGTGTAATGATATACAATATATATATATATAAGTGAATAAAAGAAGCATCTATTAGGGCCACCTATAAAAACTACTTGAAATGAACAGTGTAGCGATAAAATCTTACATAGTGTAGGGATGCTTTCGTCTTCCCTTTGTGTCTATATATTGGTAATATTTCTTGTTCAGAAGGAGAGTATCCTGCCAAGATGGCACCAGGTAGTGAGTGCAGCAGATAAACAACATGTTCCACCAGTATAGAAGGGATAAGAACTGACAGTTTATATGAGGATATTCTGTATTTCTATGTTAGTTTTGCATTTGTGTCTCACAGATTGACAAAGACCACTTGCCTCCAAATAGTGCCAAGGTCAAGAATACATGGACCTATATATCCCCTCCCCCAGACGTGTTCATGGTGTAGTGCTTAAGTAGTTAAGAATAAGGAAAAATTTACCTTTACTTGCGTGGGCAGATTATCTTAGAAAATTCCAGACTTCTACTTTCAGTAGGTTTATATACTGATATTACTTGTAGACAAGAAATACTGATATTTTTAAATATACTACTTTACAGCCATTTGCCTGTTGTGTAAAATTAAGATATTTGCATTCCACATTTAAGAAGATACAGTTTTTCAGCACTTTGTCTCAAATCTTTTATCAGAAAACAAACCAGTCCTCCTTAGACCACTATAGTAACTGATGAGTTTCATTTTACTACTTTTTTGTGAGACCACATATTAACAAAGGAAGAATTTCTTGACATTCCTAGGCTCAATATGTTACTTTTGCATAGATTTTAACTTCCTATCTGTCTATAATAAATTGGCAGCCTGTGGAGTAGAACCTCCTTAACTTCTAGCAGGATAGAGATAAATGGACAACATCTAAGTGAGTAACACACACATTACCACATTACTTGAATAATATTTTATGTGTTACACCACTAATTCCAGATTGTCTGTATCACAAAAGTTCAAACTTAGAATTCAGGAAGGATTTCCACAGGTTATTGGATGCACTATTCTACAGGCATGCACAACTTTGAATAAATAAACCTGCATCTTGGACTATGACTTAGAAGAATCAAGAAAACTACTCAAGCTATTTGCTTGAGTATAAAATTAGAAGGCCAGGTACATCGGGAGACAAAATTTCCTAGATAAACATCTAGTTTCTTTTTTCTGTGAATAATCGTTTAGTATTTTCCTCAGAATTCTAATCAAAGTTCCAGTTTTCAGAAGCACCAAGAACATATCTCACCTAATATCCCCACTCATGACTGTACTATGAAGTGGCCCTAACCCATGTTGGGGTGGGCTCTGGGATGGATCCAGTGGTGGGCATGTAAGGCAGTCCATCTCTCGGTTGTCTGGGGAGCTGATGTTAAGGTCACCTGTACGATATAGGTGCCTTTCCCCTGGCTTATGTTCAGGTGCAGCCACAAAATATCTGGAATCACAGTAGTCTTCTAAGTTAATTAAATTAACAAAGTCTTCAGTTTTTGTTTAGTTCTCAAGAGTCCAGGAGTTTAAACAACATTCAGGGTGGCATGCCAAAATTTAAATGGATTGCATTACCAAGTTTCTGCAGATTTAGTCCAAAGCTATGAGCTGCCAGTTAGCAAAGGAAGACACCAAAGTGTTTGTATGTTTTAATGAACAGGAATAAAACATATCTTCCTGGTTATTGTCAAGACCATGCATACATACGATATGGTTATTAACCCATTTTGTAATCTAAGATTGCTTCCTATCTTAAAAAAAAAATTCAAACCATAAACCATAAAACTTACTGTACTTTACACACTTCTAGTGCTGCAAATCTACTGCTTTCATTACTGTTATGCTATTTGATTTTATTTTGAGAAAATTTACTACTTGGGCCCAATTTCTGTCTGCATTACATTTTTTAGTTATGAGACACATACACACAAGAGGAGATGCACAGAGAGACACACAGAGGGATATATATACACAGAGAAACAGAGAAAGAAAGTGAGAGAGAGATAGACAGACACAAAAATACAGGTACAGAGACAGGCACATCTGAATGCAGATCTATGTCTATATCTACACCTATGCCTATGTCTATAGATATAGATATATGTATATTGTCATGTACATGAGTGACTACAGACAGGGTTTAGTTTGGTAATTGGATTTATTAAACACTTACAGATCATAACTATGAGTGACTATAACGCTATTGCTAATTCACTCCACAATTCACTACAGCACGCATTAAGTCTTCTCAGTCTGCTGTATCTTTATCAGTTGTCACCTGGTAATGGCTTCTAGTGCTGTAGCTTCCTCAGCTTCTGTGTTCATGCCTTTAATGACCGGCAACTGTCTCACAGCTCACACCTACTCTTCCACATGCTGTCTCAAGACTCTAAACTCTACAATCTCAACTGAATCACTCATCAACCAAGCCCTTCATTCCACCACATTCCTTATGTAGCCCTGCCACAGAATGCACAGAAAACACATCTCCCAGCAATTCCTCTATTTTTGCAAGAACCATCAAGCGGGCTACTGCCTAACAATAGCCGTCATTTACAGTCATTACTTAGCAACAGGTGTATACATTACAACACACACACAAACACACACATGCATACACAGAGCTTGGTGATCTGATGAGCCTACTTTCTTTCCTCATGAAAGCAAAATTGTCTAAAAATATACATCTCTGCTTATAACAGTGAGATTAAACATTCACTATCCAAGGTGCTATCTTGACAATGCTGACAATTACATTAGCAAATCAGAACATGACAGGCAAAATGAATTCAGTCTAAAATCGTACATTTGAGTTTAACAGTTGGGAATCCTGTAGGGAAGGAGTACTTTGGAGATGTAGGTACAAATGGGATAATATTAAGATCAATCTTAAATAAGTAATGTGTGAGGATGTGTACTGAATTCAGTTCACTCAGGATAGGCTCCAGTGGTGGGGCCTTATGAATGTACTTTCAGGTTCTATAAATGTGGGAACTTTTTTGGCTATGTGGTTACTATCAGCTTATTGTGAAAATCTTTACAGAGAGTGGGTTAGTTTACCAGTACCATTAAAATCAACTGAACTAAAACTACCAATCTTTCTGCATGTTGTGGTTCTTTTAATCATCTAACAACTAATACTCGTATATTTTATTAATTTTGTTCAGCATTTTCTCTGTGATACTGGTTCCAGTGAGTAGAGCAAAGAGAGAGAGCATCACAAGGGTGAGCATTTTCCAGCCTTGGAGGACTAATTCTTGTAAAAAAACTAAGTTTAGTACTACACAAGTTGATGTAGAAATAATGCTTCAGACTTCCTTTCAAGAGGCATTCAGTTCAAATTTCAGCTGGGACACTGACTATCATGGTTGAGGTTTTTGTGGTTTTCCTCAGTCCATCCAGAAAAATGCTAAGAGCACCTTGATGAGGCACCCTTTTCAAGTCATTTCCTATTTATTAGCTACTAATCATCCACCACTAGATACTACAGAGCTTAGATACTGACAGTGGCATCAAATTAACCAAGAAAATAAAAGCAGGGGACAGACTGGCACATCGTGAAATCCATGATTATAATCTCTTGATTATATAATTGTAACTCATAACAGATCATCCTGGAACTGTGCAAACCAGAGCTTATATTCTGTTCCATTTTAAAAATTATAATTAATTAAATGCTGTTGCATCACACATGACAATGCATCCAAGACTCCTACCATACTAGAACTAGGTACTGAGAAATCAGGTGCAGTCTGGCCTTCAGATTAGATATGCACAACATTACACCCTGCAAGATATAAGTGACTGACTGACCGACCAACCAGCTAACTAACCAGCCAACTAACCAACTAATTCCATGGAGCTGAGCCCTTCTTGAAAGGCGGCCAGTCTTTCAGGTCTTCCTTCATATTGAATTCTTTATACATGGTTTATTTATAATTAAGGAAATCACAGTCATTCTCTTAATGCAACTATGTACTTACATAAAATGGTTCTCCTCATCCCAAGCAAGGATTTTAGTGACCTCAAATCTACCCTGAGTGAGAGGCGTATTTCTTCTGCTGGCAATATCTATGTGACACACATGCTTGTAGTAGCCGTACTGTCCCTCCAGAACTGGTAGGCGTGCCAAGTAACAGCTTCCATCAGAACTGAAGAGTGGAGCATCATATAGCTCCACCCATCCTCTGGGCTCTGCTTCAAGTTTCATTGTCTAAAATTAAGAGCTAGAATTAGAGTGGAAAGGGGTGAGCATCCAACTGCCTTTGCATTGTGGTCAATAATAATCTGTTGTACATTGTCATCACTTATTCCATCAGCAACCCTTGAATAAAATGTAATGAGATTTTCTGATACTCACTAAATTTCAATAAGTGAGCTTTGAAGCAATGATACCTGATCCCTGCAAGGCACTCACAAAGCACAATATATGTACAAGCAATTCATTAGAATTTTGACACCTACAAGTGAGGTCGTCAGCTAATCCCAATTTGAATTGGTGTCCTATTATTTGACAGTGATCTCCTGGTAGTTCTTTCAAAGTTTTCAACTTATTCCTATTGAGTTGTAGTAGTTCTCCAGTTTTATCTAAATAGGATCTTTGGCACGAGGAGCTTCATTTGCCTCTGTCCAGTTATGGACTTCCAGCCTTAAAGACACTGTCCGGTGCTTTAGTGACTTGTAGACTGGGCTTGGATTGGTGAATGGATTTATTGGATATTCACAAGTCGTTAACTACAAATAATTATAACACTCTAAAGAGTACTGTAACTATAACACATAAAATAAAGTCTTCAACATCTGTTTGCTTAGTCATTGCAAGGTAATGAATCTTATCTGGTAAAAACTTCAACTGTTGCATCCTTGAACAATGAATCTTCAAGAGTCTCTAGTCTCTCGAATTCTCTATCTGCATCTCTGATTCTTGGACTGAACTAACTTTGTGCAGACCGAATATAGATCACCAAGGAGAGCAGTTGATTGTTCTCTGTTATTCTCTGTTCCATCTGTTGCCACAAAAACACATGACAATTTCTGGGCAATACTTTTACCAGTGTATTTGTTGCCGTGGAAATGGGTTTTAGCTAACTGTTGTAACAGGAACTTAGTATTTACTTCGACGTTGCTCATCAACGGACGTCTGGCTCTGACTCTACTATTCCGGCTTGCAGGCATCATGTCTCAGCATCTGTTACCTCATAGGCAATACAAACGGCCAAAAACCTGAATCCTTCAGGAGGGCTAAATAGAGTTCATAAAATGCGCTTTCATCATACCAAACATTAGTCTGCTAGTTAACTTTTCTCCTTCCATAATCTAAGGCTTGATTATTGTTTTGACTCTACGAAACATGTCAATTGAATGCTCTTGTTGCATGTGTCAGTATCTTCATTCCATGATTAATACTAAATTAAATCTAATTTCCCATGCACACATGAAATGCTGTGTAGTAGTGGCACTGTGAGAAGCCATATCAGTTTCGAGGACAGTATGTGCAAGGGCATGATTATTAATATTGTCACGTATTTAGCAACTAGACATGGGGTTTGGATTGTTAATCAGATTTAGTAAATTGTTAAACAACGTGTAACTACAATTTATAAATCACTATCACACAAAGAATAGTGTTTGAGTTACGGTCTTCACTGCTATGCCCAGTAACATCCCACAAGAGTGGACGTTCCTCTGCACCAGGGCTCAGGTCCTCATAGGCTGGTGGCCATCTCACACCAAATTTCTTCTCTTCTAAAAGCTGTCTCAAGACTTTCTCGCAATGACAGCTCACCTGCCTTATGCATCCCCGGCATGGACCACGCAGAAAACACCATTTTCAACAGTTACTCCGTAGTTACGTGTTACACTGCCATTACCTAACTATGGCTGATTCTCTGGCTCTGCAGATCTTGCTGCGAGGAAATATGCCACAGTATTCTTTTTATTTTGTTAATTTTTACTTATGTGGATAGTTAATTGAACATATTATTGTCATTATCACCGTTGTTGTTGTTGTTGTTGTTGTTGTTGTTGCTGCTGCTGTTGCTGCTGTTATTTAACAAGTATTATAATACTGATATAAACCATACAGATTGTAATCTGTATTCCCACCAGGGCGGACGAAATACACTGTAAAATGAGGCACCTGCCAAACAATTAATACCAAATAATAATACACCAATACCACGGGCCTCCAAGAAGTTAACTATATGTATACATGTGGCACAGTTCAGATATTTGGGAACAACGATAACAGATCGAAACCTGATTCAGGAGGAAATTAAGAGGCGATTGAACTTGGGTAATGCTTGCTACCATTCAGTCCAGAACCTTTTGTCTTCTTGTCTGTTGTCCAAAAACATAAAAATTAGAATATACAAAACTATAATTTTGCCTGTGGTTCTGTATGGTTGTGAAACTTGGTCTCTGGCATTAAGGGAGGAACATAGACTGAGGGTGTTTGAGAACAGGGTGTTGAGGAGAATATTTGGACCGAAGAGAGATGAAGTGACAGGAGGTTGGAGAAAACTGCATAATGAGGAGCTTCATAACTTGTACTCTTCTCCAAGTATAATTAGAATGATCA